CCAGTGATGTCTGCACTGCACAAGAAGAGTGCCAGTTGGCTCGTTGGATGTCCCGACAGGATAGAAATGAGTTGGATGGTGGAGAAGGCCTGGCCTTTGTGATGATAGGCACAGTCTGTGTTTTCCTTCTTGTGGTTGCGTCACTAGTAACTAAAGCACCGTGCATTGTTATCAGCAATTATATAAATAGCCTTGTCCTTTAGTGATGGTATGGAAGTAAGCAAAAGCTTGTTTTAACACTTTAGCTTTTGAGATGCAGGAAAGTGAGAATGGCCTGCTTAAATTCGACAGATCTTTCTGCTTTATGACACTGAGAGTGTGTGACTCAGCGTATGTCCTTCCTATGATGATTCCCAAGGCCTCCTGCAAGTCATTGCACATGGACCTTCATAGAAGAGGCTTAAAACCTTGGCCAGGAGTTGGTTATGGAAGTAAGCAAAAGCTTGTTTTAACACTTTAGCTTTTGAGATGCAGGAAAGTGAGAATGGCCTGCTTAAATTGGACAGATCTTTCTGCTGTAGTTCACTGAGAGTGTGTGACTCACCGTATGTCCTTCCTATGGTGATTCCCAAGGCCTCCTGCAGGTCATTGCACATGGACCTTCATAGAACAGGCTTAAAACCTTGGCCAGGAGTTGGCAAGCGGAGGGGAGGAGGGGAAGCAAAGTGTTTGATGTTGGCAGCAATAAGACATCCTCAAGGTTGCCAAGAATGGTATTTAGTGGGGAGGAAAAGGTCCAGAGCATAGTAATGATCAAATGGTTCAGAAACAGTAGAAAGTGGAATTCCTGCCCCATTGAGCATCAGTGGGTTTAGACAGTACCACATTAATCCAGGAAAGGCAAAGATGGGGTGGGGTGGGGTTGTTGATGCCCATACTGTGTATAGGTGGGAAAAGAAGAACAGCCAGGGAAACCTAGGCTATCAGCACCAATAATGGGTTAAGAGAATTCAATTCAATAATGGGTTAAGAGAATATCTCCACCGGATCATATATATATGACCCGGTGGATCATTGAGTCCAGCCCCTGTCACAGAGGCACAGTGGGGAACTAGCCTCCCTGCTTAGCAGCCAGATCCCTAAACCACTGAGTTAACGAGCAGTTCTGAGAAAAGACACCATTATATCACAAATGCATGTTGCAGTTCGATGTCATACTATTCCAACATTTAATCTCTTTTTAACAGAATACTGTACCAGAAATTCCTGTCTGTAACGTGGCAGGGCCAGGAAGGGCCTAATGGAATGCTGTGTGTCCCAGTTGCTCATGCACTTGGCAGTCTTGCAACTTTGTAGTGGTACCAGGTAGTATGATCTGTACAGGATTGCAAAAGATAGCAGTA